TGAGTATCCGCTGAATGTTTTCTCTGACTGCAGCACTAGCTCTCCTGGCACATACTCAGCCCTCGGGGTTTGCTTGGTGAGGCAGCACCACTATCTTCTCAAACAATTAAAATCATAAAATTTGCACTCACTTTCAGCATTGCACATTTGGACTCTCCAGACACCGTGAACCCAGTGTCTCTGTGGGAAAGCTGTTAGGGAGCTGCATGATGGAAAGCAGCCTCAGCTCAGACTGCACAGAGGTCCGATTCCAGCTGTCTTCTTCTCAGAAGGTGGAAAAGTGGCTTCAGCTCTCCAAGCCACAGGATTTTTTTCTCTTGTCAGGGAGAGGAAAGATACTCCATTCCATTGCTGGTAGGAATGTAGGCTAGTGCAGCCACTATGAAGTCAGTATAGGAGTGCTCTAAGACAACTGAAACTTGCTCTACCCCATGACCCACCTAATCCATTCCTGGGAATACATCCAAAGGGAGTGAACTCTGTAACCCTGAGAAAGTGACCTGCATCTCCGTAGCACAATCCACAATACTGAAGACACAGAAAAAACTCTGATGCTTGTTGAAAGAGGAATAAAGAAATCGGTACTTCTACTCTCTGGAATACCTTTCAACCATTAAAGAGAATGAAATTTTACCATTTGTAACACAGTGGTCCCAACTGGAGACCATTATGCTCAGTGAAATAAGCCAATTTCCAAAGAACAAATATCATAAGTTCTCTCTGATACACAGCAACCTTCATGTAAGATACAAAACAAATAGATATATAGGTGTACAAGTATATACATATGTTATCATGATGAACTGTATAGGGGGGACTAGCATATTGGGTAGTGAAGAGACACTCAGTATGCATCTCTACTCCGAAATAAAAGGAGGCCTCCCAATGAAACTGTTAAACGTATCTTGATAATAGAACAATAGATTTTCCACCATTGCCTATGCCTACAATGTCATGTTATGTTTATGTAGCAGAATGTTTGGCTTATGACTGTTGATGAAGGACTACACTACTCTAATAATACTGGGGGAAATGGTGTGGGGGAGAATTTGGAGAGAAGAGCGGGCAGTGAGGAGAGAATCCCTATACATCAAATAATATCATGGAAAATAACATAATTAAAGTAAGAATATATTAGTGCTAGAAGGTATATATTAAACCATATGTAAGCTAATATAAAGGCAAAAAAAAGGGAGATATCCAATATGATCAGAAAAAAATGTGGACTAATTCAAGTGTGAGTGAATGAGTTTAAGAATAAGAAGCAGTTGTTGGGTAGACTTTGACATAGTGGCTAAGACACCAGTTAGGGTACTCACATCCCATACTGGAATGTCAGTTTGTGTCCCAGCTTCACTTCCAATTCTAACTTCCTGCAAATGTACCCCCTTAGAGGTGGCAAGTGATGGCTCGTTTCACCACTAAACATAGTGGATCAGGCATTTGTTAAGGTGCTGGTTTCCATATAAAATGCTTAGGTTCGTTTCATGGTTCTTGATCCTGATTCCAACTTCTTGCTAAGCACATGAAAGAAAAGCATGATGTTGCCAGTGGATGAGTTCCTGCTACCTATTGCACCTGGATTGGATATGTGGGCAGTGAGCCACTGTGGAAACTGTCTCAATCAATGTGTGTCATTTTGTCTATCTGCCTTTCCCTTTGTCTCTCTAAACAAATGGACATGGGTTACAACTTACTGCACGAACCTCCAAAGCACAGTCAATGAAATAAAAATAGACACGTGGAATTATACCAAGGTAAGAAACTTCTGCACAATCAAGTCAACAGAATGAAGAAACAGCCAACAGAACAGGAGGAAACATTTATAAACAATTTATCTGACAAAAGATTAAGAAACTCAAATATCTCAACAACAACAAAATCCAGGTTAAAAAAAAAAAAGACGGACAGAGGATCTAAATAGAGATTTTTCACGAGAGGTAAATGACCACCAGGATCAAATGCTTACTGAGAGATAGGAACACAGTGGTACCCTATGTATCTATAGGGTGGCTGAGCTTCCAGAGGGCAACATTATCAGAAATCTGTCCTTTCAAATAATAGTGTCTGGAGGATATTAAGAGCTCCTGTCAGCTATAGCAAAATTCAGACAGTAATAATCCAAAGAAATACTGAAATTTCAGAGGTACAGATGTGGGCACCTCAGAAGGAGGCTCTTCAATAAAAAGGCTGCAGCAGGTTTGGGAGAGGACAAGGCCTCAGAGAGAGCTATTTGCAGGCTGGAATCAGCCACCAACAGTCTCAGTGGTAGTGCAACAAAGAAAAGGCAGCAGGAGGTAGGAACTACAGAAAAGGACCAAAGAAAGCATCCAGAAGGGTCACCTGCAGGTGACAGAGTCAGCAAGGTCACAAAGATTTTCAGCAAGGACAGAAAAGCTCTCAAGGCTGAATAACTTCTCTCAGGTTTCTTTGACATCCTAGAGACAAAGACGTGGGTCCAAGGTTCACAAGCCTAGAATTCTCGGCTGCCAAGTGCTGCTCTTTAAGAAAGAATTGACATCATCACCCCCACACTTACTTTAGCACAGTGTATTGGCAACAGCACTCTATGTTTAACTGAATGGGTGACCAATAGATGGCTATTTGGAAATAGCCAGACACTTAACTGATCTCTTAAAAAAGAAATAGGAGGAAGCATTTCTGGGAGCAGACATATTTGAATCCATGTGTCCCTGCAAGCTGCGCATGCTCACTGCACTGCTGCACAGGCAAGGCCAGGCTGCCCTATGCTCACTGACTTGGAGAAAGAAAGGCAGGTGCGCTGTTGTTAGTGTAAGGGAATTTTCATGATGACCTCCTAAAGAGGCCGAGCAGCCATTTGCTCCATGTGACTAGAAGAATTTGCATGCTAGTTAGTGCATTCTGAGAAGAGAGTGATAAGGATAATAGTTCCACAATGAATCTCTTCCTATGAGCTGTATGTTTCCTCTAACACTTTTGTTTTAAAGATTCATTTATTTTTATTGCAAAGTCGGATATACAGACAGTAAGAGAGAAGGAGAGAAAGATCTTCCATCCAATGATTCACTCCCCAAGAGACCGCAACGGCCAGTGATGCGCCAATCCGAAGCCAGAAGCCAGGAGCTCTTCCGGGTCTCCCACGCGGGTGCAGGTTCCCAAGGCTTTGGGCTGTCCTTGACTGCCTTGCCAGGCCACAAGCAAGGAGCTGGATGGGAAGCGGGACCGCTGGGATTAGAACCGGTGCCAATATGGGATCCTAGTGTGTTCAAGGTGAGGACTTTAGCCGCTAGGCCACCGCGCTGGGCCGTCCTCTAACACTGAAGCACATTTGTTTGTGATATATTAAAATTGACAGTCTGTAAGAATTTATATTGGCATTTGGATGCTCTTTGTGGTCAAAGGAAGTGTTATCATAGTGTAATTCCTGTTGGGAGCTTTCTCTGCTCAGTCCAGCACACTGCCTTCCCCCAGTGCCAGTTTTACTGACTTCTCCTGCTACTTCCCTTTCCTCTTCATTTCTAACCTTTAGCCAGACACCTCTTCTCAGGTGTGTATACATTCCTTCTCTGCATCTGTGCATGGTTTTAAGTGCCGTCTACAAGCTACAGCTTGTGATTTTATTTCTCCACTTCAAAATTCTCATTTAAACTCAAGATGCATAAATCGACCCAGTTGCTTGGCCCCCTTTAGCTCTATTATCTCCTCAACCTCACATAAATCTTCATCCCAATTATGGGAGCCTCATCCTTCAGGCAGGCCAGAAACATAGAGGATCATTTTACCTCTTGCCTTTCTCTCATAAGCTGCATCGAATTATCAAGCAATGCCACTGAATTTATCTTTAAAATGTTTCCAAACTCTGTGGCAGCTATTGTGGTACAGCAGGTTAAGACCCAACTTGACCTACCCACATCATGTATTAGAGTGCCTGGGATTAAGTCCTGACTCCACTTACAACCCAGCTTCCTGCTACCATGCACCCTAGAGGCAGCAGATGATGGTTCAAGTCCTTGGGTCTCTGCTTCTAGTTGGGTAAGCCAGATTGTGCTCCTGGTTCCTGACTTCAAACCTGTCCAGTCTCAGTTATTGCCAGCATATGAGTGAAATAGTGGATGAAAGCTCTATCTCCCTCTCTCCCTCTCTGTGAGTGTGTCTGTGCTTCGTTCTGCTTTACAAGTCCGTTTTAAGCATTAAAAATTATGTTCCCAGCATCTGCTTACATCTAACTGTCTCAAACTGAGATCACCAAAGCCAATCATGTTCCACCAGTCTGCTGTATTAGCTTTCCCATTTCTCTCCCTGCTTCTTCCCTTGACCCAATTCAGCACCAGAGTGACTTGAAAATGCAGGTCAAATCTGGTCACTTCTCTGTCCAGAGCCCTACAATGACTTCCTGCTTTGCTCAGGATAAAAGGCACTATTCTCACAAGGACCCACACAACCTGCACCTTCTCCACCCCTCTACCGTTTCCTCTATCGCCCTCTCCTCCTGGTGCATGGATCACCTCCACCTTCCTCCACACAGACTTGTCTGCTCTTGCTTTGTGACCTTTGCTTTTGCTCTACCAGGCTGCACTTGCCCAGGTATTCACATGGCTTTTTCCCAGATGGCTTCTCCTGCTCTGAACCTCCCTTGAACACACTGTTTAAAGCGATGAATGATGGACTAGTTTAACAATGTCTTATTTGCATCCTGTCTGAATAAATTTGATTGTAATAGAAAATAGCAGCCACTACCAGCATGAAGGAAACTGAAGATGTTGCTGATTTCTAGTTGTATCAACAACCGGGCAGTGAGCTTGGGCAACTTGATTTTGACCCTTGATTTGATACTCATTTGCATAATTGGAAAAGTAGCTTGTCCACTCATAAGACAGGATGAGATAAGGAAGGCATATTATGGACAATTATAAGACATGCAATCTACCCAAAGCAATAAGTAGCTTTCTCCTTCTCATGAAGAGTGAAAATTGCTACAGGAAGGAGAATGTGAACCTAGACATTCATGAAAAGCTTACCTTTCAGCCCACAGTGGCCACACATGGCTACAAACACTGTAGATTCCATTTCAATGCTACTAACGCCACCTTTATAGGCTCTCTTCAAGTAGTCGAACTTCTTTTCTCTGGAGAAGGAGCACAGTGCTCCATCCAGTCGTCCTTGACCCGAAAGAGAGGAGAATAATTAGTAACTTGCTGCTCACTATACTGGCAGTGGCACTCATCAGTAGGCTCGTTGAGGACCACTCTGCTCTCCACTGTTTTTGGCCCTTGAACCCACTGCCTGAAATTTCCAACCAAAGAGCTTGAGAAATAAATGTGTATGGGAGGAGTGTGCATGGCTGAGGGTTCCAGACCTGAGGTCAATAGCCACTGACCTGCTACAACAACCAGCATTGTGTAGGAGACATCATCCATTGGATAGAAAGTCATTGACAGTGTTGCCTTTTGGGGTTGCTCCAGCACCTGTGGCTGAGCCTCCAGCTACACCTAGGGAAGAAGATGGATCAGGTCTCAGTGATGCTCTTTAGCAGGTGCAGTGTTGAGACGGTGATTTGGACTCTGCAGCTATTTTTATGCTCCTTAGCACAGTGGTGTCTGTATTACTGTCTCCAGTCTTCTGTGACCATACCCTCTTTTCATGATCGCTCACAGTGTTCTTTCACTTCTGTGTTTTAATTTCACCTGTATCAATTAGTGGAGACAGAAGAGGTGCAGGAAAGTCCAGTGCTATTACTCTTCTTACACTTCAAGAAGACCTCTTCTCTCCTCATGCCAAGAAAAGCCCATATTGAAGCAGATGAGCATGTAAGATAATAACACTGTCTCATCTACTATTGACAGAGTCCATTTTGCCCACCACTCTGGCTCCTGTATCTTTCATGCTTCTTGCTTTTCAGCAGTTCCTGCTCTGCTCGTGCCCTCTCCTCTTTAGAGATGCCTGCCAAGGATTATTTAAGCTGATCAGTGTCAGCCATTCCAGAAGATAATCAGGGATTGCCATGTCTCAAAGGAGCAGTTTTACCCCACCTTCGGCAGTTGGGGCTCTGACCAAGACTTGCTGGGGCTGCCATGCACACATTAATTTATATCTTTGTGTGGCATTATTCCAAAAGCAACAAAAAAAAGAGTAAATTTTCATATGAAATCTCCAAAAGTCATAAATGGTGGCAAAATCATTCACATTTTAGGAGATACTGTGCAGCATGAAGAAAATACTAACTCTCTCTCTGCCCTTCGCAAGCTCTGGCTTAAATATATGGGTAGGTGGCCTTGCAGAAAGGACGGGGAGTCAGTGACCTGTAAGAGAGTGACCGTAAAGACTCAACACCCCTCTTTTCTTACAATAAGTATGTTGTAAAATTATCTTAGCTAACCTGAAGTAAAATGTACACATCTTGAAAACTATCTGTCTTTTGCAACTAAATGTATCCAATTGGAAGCCACTATGCTTAGTGAAATAAGCCAGTCCCAAAAAGATAAATATCATATGTTTTCCTGATCTGTGGTAACTAATACACAGAACACAGCAAAATATTGTTTATTGAGTGAGATTGGCATCCTAGGATTTATTATTTATAGTCTTTATACTGCTAAGAAATAATACCTTCTTTTTTTTTCCTGCTTGCCATATCTTTACCTAATGGAATGATAAGCCCGTGATCATGAAGTAAAATGAAAATATGACATTGTGAAAATTAGAAAAAAAAAAAGAAAAATGATAAGGAAGGAGGAGTGTTGGTAATGAGGGCGGGAACGAGGGAGAGTGAGGATGAGGTATCACTATCTTCCTAAATCTACATGAGAAACTGTATAAAATCTGATCACTTTAAATAAACAATAAAGTAATAAATAAAAAACCTGGCTCTGTATGTAATTTTTGAAAAGCCAATATAACACTTGATGGAAAGAGAAAGAAATGAAACGCTGGATGTTGGGGTCGACATGGCTGCACCCCACGTCTCCAACAGACCTTTCAAAGCATGGCGTCATCCCTGGAAAGAGGGCAAGGCTGAGCCATGAAGGCTTTTGTTTTTTTGTTTTTTTCTTGGCCCCTTGATAGCAAAAGCTGTTACTGAAAAGTCACACTCAACATCTCTTCAAATTTGGCTTAGGGACCCTTTGCTTATGCCTCGGGGATAAAAACATTATTTGGAGACAACATTTTCCTTGTGGGCCTTCTTCCTCCAACGTTTCTCCCAATTTCATTATCCCCGCTCTTCCCTGTGTGCCAAATCCCCTTTGATGTAAAAGTGAATGACTGAAACAGGGTTGCAGCCAATTTAAGCTAAAGGCACAAGAAGAGATACGATTTTGAACGTCACTTATTGCATTTTTAGTATTCCATTTGTTATCAAAGGATTAAGGCCACTCTCAAGATGCATTCTTTCTGGGTATTTCTCTGCTAACTATTAGCTCCTAATGTCCCTATACTTCAGAAAAATAAAAAAGCTGTTGCAATTCTTTCTTTCATCCACAACTATTCATTTTCTAAAGTGGAGTTTTTAAAGAAATTATAGGCTTGAATAACAAAGAGTTGGTGGCATTTTTCTCCAGAGTTTATAAATCGTTCTCACCTTCATAAAAATCATAGGTGTACATTGTGTGCCCGGTGAGGGTTGGGAAGTTGGGAATTTCTTTGCTACAGTTGAACAGTTCTTCAACTAGTTCTTTGTCAAGTTCAGTACAATGACGAGCTTGTCCAAAACTATCTGTTCAAATCGGGGCTTAAAGAAGGAGTCCACAGCAGTGTCTGTTATCACAACAGAGCCTGGCATAATCCCTGCAATGTTGGAATAAACAAGTGACTACAGAGTTGTTTAAAATATACTTTTGCCATGATATGCAATATAGTCTGCCAACATTAATTAATATTGGTTGCTAATGATTTCTCCCAGTTACATCTTTAAAATTATTTTCTTTCCCAAATCCAATTAACTAACATTCAGAACAGGCATTTACATTTACTGTCTTTCCAGATTCAAATTTACAAAGTGACAGGGTTTAGATTTCAAGCCATACATGACTCTTGGACATGCAAATTAGTATCAGCCTTCGGGCTAAAATTTGAATAAATTAGGTCAGGAATAAACCAAATGAGTCTGCTGGCAAGTAGCTTTCATAAAGTGATGTGACTACTTGATATTTAATCTTCTCTGCAACTCCTTGATTACTATAATTTCCTTGCATCTCTATCCTCTCTTCCTTCAGATTCTCATCACATTCTCTCCTTCTGCCCCCTGACGCCATATAAATTCTCTTGGCTGACCTTCTGTTGCTATGCAGTCTGGTCTGCTTGGGGAACTCAGGTTTAATGGAGAATCTATTTTCTGCAAATTGTTTTTCTCCATGTCTGGAATGCTATCTCTTCCTCTCCAATGCTTTTTCAGGAGACTAACACCAACTCATTCTTCAGGTGTCAGCAAAAGTCACTTTCCTTTTTGTTTTGTTTGAAGATTTGTTTATTCATCCAAAAGGCAGTTAGAGAACGAGAAAGTGAGAGATCTTCGATCTGTTGGTGCACTCTCCAATGGCTATAGCTAATGCTAGGATGAAGCTATGAGCTTGGAACTCCAAGTACCCCACAGAGTGGCAGAGAACCAAGCACCTGAACCATCTTCCACTGCTTTCCTAGATACATTAACAGAATGCTAAACTCGAAGTAAAGCAGCTGGGAACTGAACCTGTGCTCACATGGGATAGCATTGTCATAGGCAGTGACTTAATCCACTAGACCACGATGCCAACCTCAAACCACTTCCTTTAAAAGGTCTTAATCCATAAAAGGAGAACCCCCAAATCAAGCTATTGCGTTATATTTCCCATGTCTAGGTTTGACCCAAATTTTGTTCCATTCTGACTTCTGTTTAGAACTGGAATAAAGAAATGAATCCAAAGAGTGCCTCAGAGTGTCTCCATCCTAATACCATGGCTTTTACATGGACTGTTTCCATCCTAATACCTAATACTGTTTCCATGCCTTTTACATGGCTCTTATCTATTGGATAGAACGTAAGAAAAGAATAAAGGCTACTCACTACTGTCCTCCTGGTCTAGCACTGTGTCTGTCACATTATCAATACTCAATGATGAAGTTGTTGAATGAGTGAGTGGACAGGATCACCAACCATAGTCTGCAAATCAAACACCTTCTACATTGGTAAATAAAGTTGTATTAAATCACAGCCACTCATTCATTTATTAACTACTTATTGCTGATTTTAAGCTGCAGTGGCAGAAGTAGTAAGCTCTAGCAGAAATCACGTGTTCTGCAAAGGCTAAAATATTTACTGTAAATACTTTCATAAGAAATGTCTGTCAGCCCCTGCTTTAGTGCATGCTTTATCCTTCTGGGTGCTATACATTCTTATATTCTTCAAAATAGATCTAATTACAGATGGCATTAAAAGACCGAGCCAGAGACCAACAAGGGTCTCTGAGAATAGAGCCTTAATTGTTCAAGTACTTTTTAGATAAGTTAAATAGATGACTCCTTGAATTGTACAATGTCCTAAGGAGTAGGAAGGTGATTGAAAAGGAAACTGAAAATATGAGTCAAAAGTAATACTATTCACATTGCTAACCTGACATTTTGATATACTAGAGAACTTACGTCATGCAGTCTCTCACAGGCCAAAGTATGTAATCAAATATTTTGCCTTAATCAAGATGTGTTGGTTCACTTAAGGAGTAACAATGTTAGCAAAAATTTTAACTATCTCTTTATCCCCAAATGCAATGCCACTTCAAATAATGCAAATATTGTTGAACAGTAAATTAGGATTTACTAATGAAGAAAAAATTTCAAAATGGAAGTGTTCACACCAGCGCAATGACCTAATCATCTGCCACCATCCTTAGACCACAGTTGTGATTCTGGTACTGCCTATATGCAATATGTATCATGCATCTATGAAGCCAAAAGCCATGAGCAGGAGCTGGACGGTGGACAAAAGCTTTGTCCAAGTTCTGTACTCATAATGTCAAGTGGCAAACAGAAAAGTCAAGGTAATCCAGTGCGTAAGTGTGGGTCCAATGGAGACAGATCCTTGTGTCCCATAACCTAAGAACTATAAACATCCTCAATATCATATCCATCTATCTTCAGTTTGTTCCCTACCACTGATTGTCTGGGGATATTTTTTGGATAGAAGGATGCTAATATTTTCTTTACATCTTCCTTTCTCCCATGAAACTTTAATCCTAAACACAAATGAAGAGACCACAATCTTTCAAATATCTCTGATTCTTCTGATGGATGACTTGGTCTTCACATCTCTTATTTTTGTCCTTTGAGGATTTCTAAGGTTCTTCATTGCTCCAAAATTGTGCAGTTCTAACACCATTTCTCTTCTAAGATATCAGCCCATCTTGTAATGCCAATCCAGCCCTGTCACTCTGCCAAGTAAAGCTTCCAGTTACAATGTCCTGTATATTACCAATAGCATGGTAAAATGACCCCCAGATAAGATCATATCTCTAAAAAAAAAAAGAAGGTTGTAGAAGGAGCTTTGCTCAAAACTTTATCTCAGCACAGACCAGAAGCAGAAACAAGGCCCTCTCTACATTTGCTTGACCCATCAAACAATGAGATAAGGAGGTTCTGAGAAAACGCAAGGAAGTATTATTAGGTCTTTCTCAAAAAGCCTATTTTGGTCTCTTTCTGGTGCATTAATGAGGAAGAGATAGAACCAAGAACATGGAAGTATTACCTCGGAAGCATTAATAGCAGTTTTCCTAAGAGAACTGGGAGGAAGTAAAAGCAATATTTTCCTATCAGCTGCAAGATCTGCTTACTTAACAGATAAAATAGGCATACCCATGCTTTTCCTTCTCCAGTAGCACACATTTGTTTTTTTTTTCTTTAAGATTTATTTTATTGGACAGTCAGAGGAGAGACCGAGAGGAAGATCTACCGTCCACTAATCCACTCCCCACGCGGCTGCAATGGCCGGAGCTGAGCCAATCTGAACCCAAAAGCCAGGAGTCTCTTCTGGATCTCTCACATAGGCACAGGGTCCCAAGGCTTTGGGTTGTCCTCGACTGCCCTCCCAGACCACAAGCAGGTCCGCTGGAATTAAAACCGGCACCCATACAGGACCCCGGTGCATTCAAGGCAAGGACTTTAACTGATAGGCTACTGCACCAGGTCCAGTGTACACTTGTTTCTGTCACCCTACTATTCTTAGGCCTTAAAGAGAGTTATTACCCTCAAAACATCAATTCTTAAGAGACTCTAATCTTTTTGTGAATACCCAAGACCATCTGAACAGTTGGGTCTCTCCACTTGGACTTTCATGAGAATAAATCAAGTTAAAGCAAAGCAATATAAATGGATTTTCTTAAAATCTAAGCCACCTCCTGACTTGTTCTAACCCATCTGGGTTTCTTCTGAGTATGATGATGTATTTTGAATGAACACAATATGTGCATCAGAACCACTCAGTTTTAATCATAGAAATCAATATAACTCACCTATTCCCCCCTGAGGTACCGATTCTAATGATGGTAACATCACAGCACCGTGCATGGTGTAGTAGTTTGATGCGTTCATGAAGCATAATGGAAATAGAGGGGATGCCCATGCCATGCTGCAGAGAGAAAAGAAAAAGTCATTATACATCTTACAAACTGATACATGGAAAGAACATATTTTCTTCCTTCATTACAAGTTAACAGCCCTTGGACAAATTTGCATAATCATTATGACTTTGCCAATGCTGAGGAAAATGTAAGTCATCTCTAAGTGATGCTGACACAACATGCTGATGGATGTGTCCATCTGTGAGGATCGAAAAATTGGCATCTTGCTGCCAGTCAAACTGAGCTCAGCCCTCATCATCAAGAGCAGAAGGTGGGGGTGGCGATGTTTACAGATGTGCCAGGGCAGTGCTATTTTTCATCTCCCTGCTGGGATTTTGACAATGAACTTTTGAAAAATTGCTTTTTGCAAGATTAACTATTCAAGGAAATATATAATCTGATTGCAATTTCACCATTCCTTTTCCACCAAAGAATTGAACAGTAAATTCAATTCTTTGCTCTGTGAAGCAAAGAACAGGTCTCTTTGACCTGTTCATTTGCTGCTAATTTTGTGTGCATTTCAAAAGGCACTAGGGTAGGATGTGGATTAAGTCTCCACCTAGCAAGGGAAAGTTTATAGAGTGTGTAGGTGAAGTTAGGTTGCTACAGATCAAGACAGTAGCCTGGATCTTCTTTAGCAACTAAAACAGTGGCATCGGCGTCTGTGAACCCTGGGTGCGGTGTTCAGATGGGGCATGGGTCACCTGACCTGGGTCCTTGACCCCACCTTCATGGTGAATGCTGGGTCCATGAGCCCTAGGTGCAGGGCAGTGGAGTGAGGGGAGGCAGGCAGGGGTGTGGTACAGCAGGGCCTGTGTCAGACAGTCCAGGGTGCCAATGATGCCAGGCAAAGCTCATTGGCTGCCTGGGGGCAGTCCTGTGGAAACTTGGTATTTGGGCTTTTAGGGGTCTTGATATGGAATAGATGGGGGTTTTGTGGGCATGGAGTCTCATGTCCATGATTGGTGGTCTGACAGTGAAGGGCATGTGTCAGAGCTGGGCCTCCTCAATGGAAAAGATGGAGCAGTGAACAAAATGCCCCAATGCACATGAGGGATATGGCAGTCCACTGGGGCCTGAAAAGGACATTTGGTACCATAGCAGAGGAAGGAGAGCAGAACAAATTGGACAATTATTCCAACCAAACAATAACAAATATCTGGTTGCTTGGAGACTCTAATGTCAATTATGTCAACCAACGGACATTAGAAGGGGTTCCTCATCCTTGGATCAGTGAGATTGACAGCATTTCAGAACTATCAAAACCACTTGGCAGGCCTTGAGTGGTACCTAGTACCTAAAGTCCTCACTGTGCAAGTGCTGGGATCCCATATGAATGCCAGTTGTAATCCCAGCAGACCCGCTTCCCATCCAGCTCCCTGCTTGTGGTCTTGGAAAGCAGTTGAGGATGGCCTAAAGCCTGAAGACCATGTACCTGCATGGGAGACCTGGAAGAGGCTCCGGGTTTCTGATCAGTGTAGCTCTGGTCATTGCAGCCACTTGGGGAATGTATCAACAGACGGAAGGAAGATCTTCCTCTCTGCCTCTCCTTCTCTCTGCACATCTGACTTTCCAATAAAAATAAAATAAATCTTTATTTAAAAAAAAAAACTTGTGCAGAACCCTCAGAGCATGTACCACACCAGGTACCCTGGGTTGATACTGGGTGACTTTTGCCCATCCCCAGGTACTGGGGTTGTTGGGAGGCTAGGTGTAGCTTCTCCCCTTGTTGTCCCACTTCCTCCCAGATAAAGGAAGAAATAGAAAACTTGGAAAAAACTATCACACCCACTTTTTTCTAACCCTCGACCCATCCCACTCCAAATAACTATGTAAATATCATCAAAAATAAAAATTAAAAACAATTTTTTAAAAAGTAGCAATGAGGTTACCAGAATAGAAATGAGACATAGGATACAAGACTTGGAGAGGCTTGGTGGTTATATCACAGCATTCTCTAATAAGTCCCCAGAAAGATATCCCATTCTGTAATTTTAGAATCTGGAGGGGATTTTCAATTGATGACTCTGTCATTGCCAACATCATGGCAGAGAATCAAATGTGGTTTTGTCTTAGCACAAATCAAACCATTGAGCTGTGACTATAATATTTTCACCTGGGTTTATTCTAACTCACTACTATGAACATTAAGCTATGCAACCTTTGAACCTCCAAGTTCCTATTGTTTATGTCCTGACTTCAGAATGTGTTGGAAGCCTCTGCAATCAGGAGTCAAGCTTGTGTTGATTTGTATGTTCAAGAGGAACAAATCCAGATCTAAAACTAATAAATATAATCTGTAAGCATATTTATCTCAAACTGTAAATTAAGAGGATGAATTTATTTGATTTAATAATTCCTTTAAGTCAGACACTTGAAAAGCTTATGATTATCAGTTACATAATGTGGAAATAAAATGATAGATGAATTTATGTATTTCTGCTAAAGTCATGCCATCATTCTTTTGTGTACACACACACACACACACACACACACACTCATTTCGTAGTCACTGAAGAGGAAGAATTTCAAAGATTTCTACCTTGGCAATCTGCCTTGTGAGGCTCACTTGCAAATGAATAACTTTGGCATGTTACATATTTCAAATCTTTTTTTCCTGATAGAACAACAGAACCAATATGCTACTGTTATTCTATCTTACTCTGGAATTTTACTGCATATTTGTGGCAGTTTCACATTGGTATAGATCTTACATTATTGTCTTTTCCCATTTCCTATTCAAAAACAAACCAACAGTTATAATCTATATATCTGGAAAAATTAGTAAGTCAACAATTGCCATGATCAGAAGCCATTCAGCTTCTTTCCAATGCAGATTTTCTCTAATTGTTTACTGATGAACAAATTAGGAAATGGATGGAATCTCCGTTGTGAGCGCAAAGCAGGTGTTAGGTTCTGCTGCCCATTGGCATTGCATGATTTTCCCTTCATTCTCACAAGCTTCCCACCATAATAACCATACCCCAACACTGGATGCTACAGGCTGATCAATGCGTGCTGACAGGGCCATATGTAGGGGCTGAGTACAACAGTTCTTTAGAATTCGTTCACCTTTGCAAGACTCTTGCTCCTTTCTGTGGCATGGCTGCAGTGTCCAAATTTGTGGTAGACTCAGAGTATTCATTTAAAAAACACCTCCTTGAAGAGAGATAATCTAAGAATAGACTGCATGCGTATATGCACTCTCATAAGTGCATGGCATCTAAGTGCAAGTGAGAAATTGTCTGTTGCCTGAAGCTGCAATTCATTCCACTTTCACTTAGTCTTAGGTCATTGTGTAGATCCAGAACTGGTAACACAGTAAGTGCAGAAGAGCCATTCACAAAACTGGGTGGAGATACATAACCAGTTTTCTACAATGTTAAACAACACAGCTTTACAGTCCTGAAAATTGACCTCTATGTCCTAAAGTTCAACATTTCCAAAGTTGGATAAGACATAGAGGAGAAACTTGACCGGGAGTGAAGGTAGAGGAAGCTTGGAGACATTGAGGGACGAGGCGGAGTAGAAGAGTTAATCAGTTATAAAGAGAGGAAGAAGATGTTGAGGATTCCTCTCAATCTTGAATAGATAGGTGATGACTAAGAAATCAAATGAAAGTGACAGTGATGACTGTGTTCTGCCAAGGAGAATTTTTCCAGTAATGTAAATCATACCTGAATACTTAGTTACATTGTGTAAAAGTGCAAACTAGAAAGGTGATGGATCCCTGTGTGCAGCAATTCCCACTGTGCTTTGCAGTTGCGATGCCACCATGGTTACTTACACTGATGGAGAGCACAGGCCTGGCTTTATACATGCAGTACCTGTCTGTCCCAGCACAGATGGCCTTCACGTCTTCTCCACTTGCCTCCAACCCAAGCTCCTGCTGCATCAACAGTGCAAATGCCTTCATTCTGTTGGGGCTTCCACCAATACAAACTGTTAATAAAAATAATTGTCTTCAGTCATAGATGCTGGGATAAAAACCAAGGATTAGCTTTCAACTGATGTTTTTTTTTCTAGTGAATTTACTTAAGTGTATGCACAGACATCATAGATTATATTTTACAAATTAGCTAATTGGCAAGATTAACTTGTAAATAAAGCAAATAATTGCAGAGTCAGTAAAGACGATCACAAAATCTAAGTAAGCACTGGTATTGATCAAGGGGATATTCATGGATTTTGTTTGTTTATATCAAACAGCAGTTAGCATCTTACATTGATAAGCCATACCCTAAGTTGTATTTTGCATGATATATGCTGAATGTTAAAGTACTTAGAACATGGTAAGTAATGCAAGAGCAAAGGCAGAACCACCAGTATAAAACATGTTTTCTGTTTCCACAGGCCCAATCACAAGTTTTTATTGTAAAATACATTATGTAACTAAAGGCTTTGCAAGAATCACATTAGGGCTTTCCAGATTCTCATTCAGAAGACAGGCTCATAGAGCAAACCTTATTATAAATTTGAGATCTCACTATAGTCTTCCATCAAGTCCAATGATTTGATTTGGTTTTTGTTTCATTCACTTGTTCATATCTCTGAAATCAGGATAGGTATTACAGTCAATGGTATGAAATCAAAATGAATATAATAATAAATTATCCAGCAGTTGCTATTGCAACAGCTCTTGTGACGGCACAGTTGGAGGCATGGATGTGCAGCCAGTGGGGCAGGTGCCAATGATCAGCTATAGAAAGGGTGAGCAGCCACAGATGGACAGAAACCCAGGGGGAAGCAGGCACACAGAAGGACATCCAGTGTATCGGTACCAGGAATCTAAGTACTTCACCTAAGTACTTAGGTGAAGAAACTCCAACACAGAGAAAAAACAATGTGTAAGAACCTACTCTTTGAGGCTAGATAAAGCTGGTTTTGAGCTTCAAACCCATGGCTGGTTAAGTAGTTTGCTCACTGTCACCTGTGTGAACTCTAGGTGCCTCAGACCACCAGCTCCAAAACAGGAAAGAAGTGCTGGAGCCCAAAAGGTTCCTTCATAGGATTTCATCCAGATAAAACTCCAATCATATCTGGCAACTGCTTACCATTGCCCAAAGGCCCAAAAGCATTGCCCAAAGGCAGCTGCTTACCCAGTGTTCCCAAAGGCATCTCACTTTTACTATCAGATGTAGAAATCTCCTGGTCCTGTTTTGGGGCTGGCATATTGCTTGTGTATTACAGAATTTGATACAAACAAAGCTTGTTCTTGTTTTCTTGCAAAGATAAGGCAGTTGATGTGGAGTGGCTAATGTGAATAGCATTGGGCAAAGGGTCTCAAGGACAGGCTCACAGCAATTCAGAAGATATAAGGAGATGCCTCACATGGTTTGGGAGTGCCTGCATTCACACATGACTTTCTCTAACTATTGGGTGGTCCACATCCATGATACATCCTGTTTCAATCTAGCAATAATCTATGTGCTTCACTCATTCATAATTATAGGATGTGATTATCCTTTTATCAAGGATCTATGCCTTTCATCATTGCCTTTTCTGTGACTTCCTATGTGTTTTTCTGTTGTACCTTATATAAATATTGAACTGCAATAGAAGTCAGCCTTAAAAAGATCATGGTTTAAGGTGAGTTTTAAAATTTTTATTGAGTTTAGGCTTATTGAATATTGACTTTCTCCTCTGTTGGTTGAGTAGTATAAAGGCTTGATGCAAAGTCTAAATACAAGAAAAGCTTTTCTTTTTTGTAAACAAAGTACAGTAGTTTGAAAATTATCTCATCGTGTGGTATAATGAATGTAAATTATGGCTATTCAGATCGACCTGAAAACTGAAACAGATGCTACAATAGCTTGCGATTTGAGTGCATCTTTGACTGTAGGTATTGCTGTAATCAACAGGAACTTCTGAATACTTCTGGAGATATGAACATGACATGCCTAGATTGAAGAAGTATAATCCTTAAAGCTTATTCTTAACTCAGATTTACTAAGCACCACCTTTAGGCATGCTTATCAGTCTGGCTGCTCTAACGAAGAGTACAAACAGTTGACAACCATCAGTGAACATTGATCGTGTCACTTACAGCAATTTAATGTCTGAACCAAAATGGTCATTTGTCTTATTCCTAACAAAGCAAAAATGCACTGGGAGGTAATCAGCAGCATTATAAAAACATGTCACGGACATGTCTAATGAATGCCACAACAAAGTTGACATTTAAATGTCCCTAAGTATCTTAAGAGCTGTAATCTTGCCATGTTGTATTCATCATATCCACTATAATTTATGGATTTTGTGTTTTAACAAAGGAGTATGAACATCTTTAACTGAATATTGCCCAGAGTCTTTAAGGTGATGTTTTCCAAGCTTACCTTAAATTTCTAGGGAGAAACTGGAAGGGAGCAGTTGGTGATCTTACGCAGGTTATTTCAAATGGACACTATGGAAGACATATTTGCATATTCTTCCAAGGATGTTCCATCATGCTTTCCAACTCTTTGATCATTTCCAGTGAGGACAGAAGCATAATTCGTTGTTTTCTAAGGTGGTTTCCCTCTGGGCACACAGCTATACAGACTTTCTAGTCTCTTTCAGCTGAGATGTGGCCATTCACCCAGTATTCAGCCACCAGCATGTGTGCAGAACTGATGAATGCCACTTCCCATCACAAGCCGTACAAATGTTCATCTCAAAGGGATCCTGTATACATCTATCTCAACTGCTGGATGGGTGTTGATATCCAGGTAAACCTTGGGCACCATGATCTGAAGGTGACAGAGCAACAAAATGAAAGGAGCTTGAGTTGATTTATTAACAGTGGTTGGAAAGCCATCCACTGACCAGGAGCACTCTCTTTACACCTAATGTGACTTAGACTTTAAGCCATTGAAATTTTGAAGGCTCAGCTAGAGAAACCTTTGAAAATATAATAAGCAAAGATTTGAAGGAATTCAAAGTGATTGTAAGAGTCATTGAGGTTTTGCTTTGCACACCCTTTCCTCTGCAGACAGTGTTGTATTAAGAGTCATCATTTCTGTGGAAACAGGGCTAGGTTTTCAGAGACTGGTTACCTACTCTCTCAGCCAGGATTGCTATCCTGGGGGTTAAGGCAGTCAAGAAATCGAGCCTACAATGTTTTCATTCAAAGATAAGAATGTGGCTAGAAGAGGGCATGTTCCTGAGAAAAACATCAGCTAAAATAAATCAGGCTTTACCTGCTGCCTCAAAAATCCTGAATGATGTTAAACGTCAATTCTGATCATCTGAAACAGCATTAGTGTGCTTGAATCTTCTCACAAACAGAATTTTATTTCCTATCTGTCAAAATAAGCCAATCCAGGGTTCTCTGTCCTTTCATCTAAACATTTTTAATGCAGTTTCCAGAACCAGGTAGGTCCAGAGTGTAGATGTTACATGGTGTTTATGACAGAATGTGAGAGTAAGGGGGCATGCAAATCCAGTCGAAGGATTGTAGCAAAGATGATACAACACACTTTAAGTATGTGTAGTAGGTGGAGCTGGGAGTCGCATTACTTTTGTCTAAATTAAGGTCCCACTGATTTCCAAGAAACAAATATGTGGAGTACCAAAATGTAGAATTTTTTCTATTAACTGCAGGAGGAACCACTGCTTCTTTCATCAGAGAACCCTAACATTTACCCTCAGCTCTTTCACTTCCCAGCTGTGTTGTGCCTAACACAGACAGATAATACATATTGTATCACTACGTGTATGTTTGAGTCTCATTTCCTCATCTATAAAATCGAGACAAGTCTTACTTCCCCTCAGTGATGTGGGGATTGAATAGCACACTGTTTTGGATTCTGTATAGAGTCTGAATTTTCTGTGTTTCAGACTCTATACAGAATCCAAAACACAGAAAATTCCCCACAAATGGCAGAGATAGACACCTCAAGTGTATAACAGCAGATCTTCTGTGTCAAAACTTGTCTTAGGTCTTTTTAATTTATTAGTTGAATTAGTACCATAATTTGTTAATTCTGATGAATCTTCTATTAATCACAGTCATTCCTAAATAAGAGACCTGAGAGAATCTTTGTAGAGACATAAAACAAAATTTAACATTTGAACTCAGGTCAAACCTGTATAATAAGGATCAAAAGCAACCTTCATCAATGACACTTGCAGCATGTGTATTATAAACAGCAATAGGAAGGGAAATCACATTGAGATGAAGCAAAGGATGAAGGCAAGTCACACAAAAGCAAAAAAAAAAAAAAAAAAAGCAGCAGTCTCAAAAAGAGTGGGAGTGCCCAGTGTTGTAGCCTAGTGGCTAAATTCCTGGCCTTGCACACACCTGCATCCCATATAGGCACAGGTTCTAATCCCAGTGGCCCCACTTCCCATCCGGCTCCCTGCTTGTGTCCTAGAAAATCAGTTGAGGGTGGCACAAAGCCTTGGGACTCTGCATCCGCGTGGGAGACCTGGAAGAGGCTCTGGGCTTCTGGCTTCCATTCTATACCCAGATATGTACCCATTCCCTCAGCTCTGCTCCCTGGAAAGAGGGGGAGAGGAAGTGCAATCTATTGATTTTGAAGAACAATAGGATTATTTTCTCTTACTTCATCTCTTCCTTCCTCCCTTCCTTCAATCCTTCCTGCCACCCTCGCCCTTCCATCCTCCCCTCCCTTCTTGCCTTTCTCCCTCCTTCACTCCCTCCCTTCCTTCTTTCCTCCCTCCCTCGTTTTCTTCTTTCATTCCATCCTTCCTTCCTTCTCTCTATCCTTCCTCCCTCCCTTTCTTCTTTCATTCTGTCCTTCTTCCCTCTTTCCTCCTTCCTTCCTTTTTCTTCCTCCATTCTTCCCTCTCTCCCTCCCTCCTTCCTTCCTCCCTTCTTTCCTTCTCTTCCACTTCTATATAACACCGTCCTTCACCTGCCACTCACTGCCTCTCAATTTATGAAACATTTTGAGTTACTGTGGTAGGAATAATTTACCTACCACAGTAGTTCCTAGTGCAATGGATAGGAACCCTGAAAATTAGACCTGGAGAAACTTGATTGGAATCTCAACCCTGCCATTCTATGGTGTGATTTCAGTTTTCTTGGACCACTCTGGCCTCACCTTTCTTGTTATATGATGGAGATGTCTGCCTGCTAAACCTCCTTGAAACATATAACATGAAAATTTTGTGAAATTGTGGATAAGAAAACTTTTGTTTTTGTCCTAATTGCTAAAGAGTATTGGAAAGTGTCAGACTAAAAACTACAGTTTTCCAATGCTGAGATATAAATTGGGTTTTTATAAGATGCAACATTTTAAAATGTCCATTTCATTTGATCATTTCTGAGAATAATTCTAAACAAATAGACCTAAACGTGAAAAAAAAGGTAAAAATATATTGTTTGGGTGCTTGTACAGTAGAAAATACTTTAGCACACAAGTCAATCTTAGCATTTAGAACATACGGCATTGGCATGGACAACTTGATATGTATAAACAATGAGTTTAAAAGAAAATATAACTACATGGAAAATGTTAATTATAGCTAATTTCAAATTAATATGATTTTAGCTAACTTTTAAATCTATTCATTAAAATGATCTATGTTTAGGTTGTAGGACAATGAGGTATGTTTTAAATCATATAGAAATACAACTTTCCTGGACGATTTCTCAAAGTAATTTCTTATGAAATAAGCATCTTAACAATGTAAAATATTAGATAATGTTTATTTTTAGATGTGGAATAATAAAAATCACTCTTGGTTTTATTGATGTCTTTTATGATTTAATAAAATGAGAATTAATGAGATTCAGCTACAAATGTAGATGTTAAGTGGTGAATTAAATCTATTAAAACATGATGAATTCTGAACACTCACCAATTTTATTGATAAAATTATTTATCTTCAAGAAACACAGAAGTCAAATAATCATGTTTTCATTAGATTTAGTTGGAAAACTCTGTCTTGTTTTGGTGCAGATGATTATTCATGATGCACACATTCTAAATTGCTTCAGCAAATGAATGTGGCTTTCATTCCTATTGAGATCCTTGATATTTCAGCCACAGATATACAGTTTGTTTTGGGAAATCAGAAAGAAAAATGAGTATGGTAAACTCAATATTTTTCCCTGAAGTGAAAAATATGTTTACCTTTACATCTGCAAACATTGCTGGCAGGTTGTGTGATTTTGTTCCTAGGTCCAAGTGATAGAGAATATCTTCATCCATGGACACTAGGTAAGGATTTTTAACACAAACAAAACTTTTTCTAGAGAAAAGCACACAAAGAGAATGTAACTGTATTTGAAGGAAAAAAAGAAACACATAAAAATGATATCAGCCTTTCTCCTAAGATTGACACTAACTTTTCTTTAGGACAAAGTGATTCATTGAAGAGCTATGTGATATAATAACAATAATAATGGTTAATATTTACTGTATATATGCTAGATGGCAGGCATAGAATGAAACATGGAAGCATGGAAATTGTACAATGGCATGAAAGCTTCACATAATGAATACATGAGTTCATTTAATTCCATAACCATCCAACTAGGTAAGCTTAAATATAATAAATATAATAAATGGATAAAGAAGTCACAGCTTATAGAAGTTGAGAAACTTGGGCCCGGCGTGATGGCGCGGTGGTTAAGGTCCTCGCCTTGCACGCCCGGGATCCCATATGGGCGCCAGTTCTAATCCCGGCAGCCTTGCTTCATATCCAGCTCCCTGCTTGTGGCCTGGGAAAGCAGTCCAGGACGGCCCAAAGCTTTGGGACTCTGCACCCACGTGGGAGACCCGGAAGAGGCTCCTGGCTTCGGAGCATAGTATCGGCCGTTGTGCTCACTTGGGGAGTGAATGATCGGATGGAAGATCTTCCTTTCTGTCTCTCCTCTCTGTATATCCGCCTTTCCAATAAAAATAAAATAAATCTTAAAAAAGAAAAAAAGAAAGAAATTGAGAAACTTGTACAAAATTATACAACCAGTGGATTATAAGAATCTCATGTCAGGCTCTAGCTCCTGACTACAGCTTCTTGCTAATGACCCAGAAAGCAGAGGAAATGGTTCAAGTAACTGATGCACAACCTACAGATTGGCCAGTGCTGCAACTTAAGACTCCATCAGCCATGCTAAATATGCAGCCTTCTTTCTATCCTAGTAGCCACTTGCCCCAGCCCAGTCACCAATTACAGCAGTACTGTCTGACCCTGGAACTTTGCTCTCTCTCTCTTGCTTATGCAATGCAAGCCAATATGCTGCTGCTTAAGAATGGCCTTAATTTAATCTAATTTGTATTTTAAAAGCACATCTGTCACAGCCCTTGGTTAGTTTTGTAATAGTTTTCAGTTCAATTTCATTTTATTGATAACATCATCTAGCAGGTCAAGACATCTTTGCCAAGTACCTCTTGGACTTCTGAGTTTTGTTTTTGTTTTGTTTTGTTTGTCCCATTCCCCTCAAATACTCCAAACCATCTTTTTTTAATTTTTATTTTTATTTATTTTTTATTGTTATTAACATTGTATTATGTGATACAGTTTTATAGGCACTGGGATTCCCCCCACCCCTCCCACATCCAAACCATCTTAATAATCTTGAACCTTTATATACCTCCAGTGGCTGAACAATAAAATCACCAGAAAGTGTAAAGAAAAAACGAAAAACAGCAGTGACCAGGCCTAATTAATTTAAGCTCTCTAAACATACTTTATCTCCCTCTACGACCTGATGTGTGGCTGATGTTGAGAATCCCTGCATTGTTCCTGAACCATCATTCCATTTCTCTTCTCAAAATTTTACTCATTCTTCAATATATAATGCAAATATCAACTCTTTTACAAATGCTTATTCAAGTATCTTACTTCCCCAGTTAATAATCATTTCTCCTCTCATTGTGCTCCTAAAGTATTTGTTTTCATGCTAATGCTTACAGATAGTATGTCATATCATAAAATGGTTAATTTTCTCTCTCTAGAAAGGTAATTTCCTTCATGCAAGCAGCCTCATATCCTTCTTTAATCCCTGTGTCCTAAAAAATCCTATATGTGGAGTTAAACTTAACTGTTCAGGAAGTAGAACAAAATTCTAATAATTTCTTCCTCAAAACACTTAGAGAAACATATTCTTAATTAGTTATTGGGTCAAACCTGGTTTCAAAAATAGTGAAGTACACACTTTACCATCCAGGACCAACCTCACAATCTTTAAACAAAAGAACATGCCCTTTGCTCTGTAGGGAGGGCCAAGAGGACATTCATCCATGGTCAACGAGAGAATTTGGTAGAAACACAGCGTCCAAACATGTGTGCTGATGGGAGAAGGACTCTCAGCGCCATGAGTTAACTCTGTCCCACATCAGGTTCCCGACTGCAGTTCTGTCAACTCCACTTCCCGTACATCTTCTACATGGTGATAAACTCTACGCAAGTCACATACGTGTGAGAGTTTGAGAAAAACTGCCGCCCATTTGTTTCCATTCTGTTTCATTCTACCAGAACTATTTTTGTGAACTGGGCATTTCCTTTGGACTCCTTACTGATTCTATGAATTGTTACTCTGTAAACCATATACTCATCCACCCTAATGATTCTAAACGCTAGCTACATACTAGAATCTCGGGAAGCTTTCAAGGATGCTGATTTAATGGATAAAGAGGAGGTAAATATTAGTCTTCTTAAAGAAATTTATCTGTTCTACATTTTGAAGGTAAAAAATTGCTCAAAAAAGAATGGCCATGAATTATATTCTCTTGTGCTAACTATAATAATCCTGGTAATTCATTAGGATGTGTTCTTTGATCTAGCTAACAATTAAGAATCCCTCAGTCACAAATTAGAGGGAATGCTTGTGCTCATCCAGTTCTTTCAAGAGGATCACTTCTCTAGGGATAACTTGTTGACTACGTGGGGGTATTTTGGGTTCCATGTGATTTCAGGATTATTTTCCTCTGTTTCTATGACAACTAATATTTATGTAGAAGTTACATTTCATCTGTATATCACATTGGATAGTACAGACATCCCTAACAATATCAGATTTTACCATTAATGAACATGAAATACCTTTTCATTTATTTGTGTTTTTCTTTATGTCATAAATGTTTATGGTTTTCAATGTACAAATATTCTGTCACCTTGGTTAAGCTTATGCCTACATGTTTTAACCATCCTGATGCTATTACAAATGGTATTGTATTTTTAGTTTCTTTTTCAGATATTGTGTTGTCACAATAAAAATACTGCTGATTTTTATATGTTGACCTCATAATCATAACTTTTCTGATTTTCTTGGTCAGTTCTAAAAGCTTTTTTTGCTGGAGTTTTTAAAGGAACAAATATGGAGACATCATTAGTCCCGACTTCAAAATTCTTCATAAGGGCCCGGTGCGACAGCATAGTGGTTAAGGTCCTCGCCTCACATGCCTGGGATCCCATATGGGCGCCGGTTCGAATCCCAGCAGCCCTACTTCCCATCCAGCTCCCTGTGTGTGGCCTAGAAGGGTGCTGGAGGACGGCCCAAAGCCTTGGGACCCTGCACCTGCATAGGAGACCCAGAAGAGGCTCTTGGTTCCTGGCTCCTGGCTTTGGATTGGCTCAGCTCCAGCCGTTGCGGCCACTTGCAAAGTGAATCATCAGATAGAAGATCTTCCTCTCTGTCTCTCCTCCTCTCTGTATATCTGACTTTCCAATAAAAGTGAATAAATCTTTTTAAAAAAATTCTTCATAAAACTATTGCAATCAAGTAACATGGGAATGGCTTTAAAACAGGACACATCAACAATTGAATGGTCCATAAATGGTCCATAAATAAACCCAAATATTTGTGGTAAGCTGATCTTCGACACAGGAGACAAAGATATACAATAAGGTATTACATATGTGGTATGGAAGGCTATAAGGATATACCACATGGAATGGAAGAGACCAGATATCCTTAAGTAAAAGAATAAAATTGGATCCTTATCTCATACCACATAGACAAACTGGATCAAAGCCTTAAATGTAAGACCTGGAACTGTAAAGCCACTGGACAAAAAACATAGGGAGAAATTTCCACAACATTGGTCTGGGCAATAATTTTATTTAATGGATTCCAGAATAAAACAGACAACAAAAACAAAACTATACAAATGGGATCATGTCACCTTAAAAAGCTTCTGCACTGAAGAGAAAACAACAAAGTAAGGCGATTATATGTGAATCGGGACAAAATATTTGAAAACTATACAAGTAACAGCAGCAAGAAAAAATCTGGTAAAAATGCAAAGGATTTGAACAGACATTTTTCAAAACAAGTGGCATGAATGTTCAATACAAAAGTCAAACTCTACTTGTAAAAAAAATGCAATTAAAATCACAATGAAACATCACTTCGTATCTGCTAGAATGGCTGTTATCAAAAAGGCCATTGATAGAGAGTAATGGAAAAGATGTCAAGAAAAGGGAATTTTTGTGCACCCTTAATAGAAGGCAAAGTAGGACAGTCATTGTGGAGATTCCATTAAAGGCAGAAAATAGAATTTCCATACAATTCAGCAATCTCAATTTTGACATGAGATTATCTTGTGGAAAAAGGATTTAAAAGATGCTTATTTTAGTGCAAAAAATGTTTTAAATTCATGCATGGTTTGTTTTCATCTATTTTCATGAACCAAGACCTCAGTGCTCCAAAAGAATTGTAATCAATGGCTTGAAGAGGTATCTGCACGTCTACGCTCATTTCATCATTAATCACAATGATTTGAATATACAAGTAACCTAACTGTCCACCAACAGATGAATCAATAAAGAAAATGTGGCATGTATGCAGATTGGAACACTACAGAGCCTTTAAAAAGAATGAAATTCTGTCATTCGTGACAACATGAATGACAACATGGCTTTATAACTGGAAGACATTATGCTGCGTGAAATAAGCCAGAAACAGAATGACAAATGCTTACTGCTAGATCTCACTTACATGTGGAATCTGAAAAAAAAAAAATCTCTCATGTTGTAGAAACAAAGAGTTAAAGATTACCAGAGGCCAGAGGTTTGGGTGTGGTGGTTGGGGAAAAGAAAGATATTGATTAAAGGGAACAAAATCTCAGGGTAGATTGCATACATGGAAACTACAGTTAATAATGACACACTGTATTATGCAAAATTGCTTTAAAATGGATTTTCATGCCCTCATTACAAAAAATTATAGTCTGGTGGAATGATGGATGTGTTAATTAGCTTGATTGGCTCTTTATAATCTATATATTGATCAAAACACCACAGTCCATTCTAGAAACACTCACAATTATTATATGTCTATTTTAGATAAATTAATAATTTTTTAATTTAAAAAGGGAAAGCTTGTTTAGTTTTTTATGCAGAATCCAATTCTTTATGAATCTAATGATATAATACTTGGACCTTTTTAAAATATAGAATTTTTATTCAAACATGCATATCATGTTTCTTCCTCAAACTTCTTTTGGTTTGTATTTTTCTCTCTTATTCCTAAGTATTCAGAAGAGTCCTTCAACAAAACAAGGTAAGTTGCACAGCATGATTACCATTAAATGTTAGTAACCAAAGAAAAGCCTGGCTAAGAAGAACTCTTTTATTCTCCAATTGCCTTCATGTATGTAATTGTTCCTTTACTCTCTTCTTGGCTTCTGTGAAAATGAACATGATTCAAGACTCCCTCTGTTTGGGCTGTCAGTGGGGTGTTTTCTAGAATGTTGACATGACAGGGGCTCTAACCAAGGCATTTCACACAGCTTTCAACAAATCAGAAGGAACTCACGAAAGTCCCTTGTACCCCACGAAGATTAATGCTCTATTATGTTCTGTTAACCTGGGGCAGGAATTGGAGCTAAATTTGCAGACAGCTTCAGCAGATTTATGTCCATTCCCGAGATGAATAACATCCATGCTATTTTAGAAGTGAATTCCATGTCAAGTCCACCACAAAGCATATGAAATCACTTCATGGTATGCCGCAGCAGAACTAAATCTCCTTCTGGCCATGGGAGGTCCCTTTAATTATTTCTCAGATAGAGTGCATGGTCTTGGAATTAAAGGGTGAACCCCATAGTGAATTCCAAGATGAACTTGTGAATTTTTTCACTCCTGCAGGTTGCTTAAATGCATGCCTGTTCTTCATGAGTTCTTTTGCTTTGCATTCTCTTTTTTTCCGTGATTACTCTTCCATTGCAATGTCTCTTAATAAAATTTCTTAAGCTTTCATTTCATTTAGCTTTCATTTGATAATAACTTTCAGAAAGTTTGTGTACTAGGGGCAGCCAAACAATGTTATAAAAATTTAACTGGATACCTTTTATTAGGTAGATTATGTCCAAATGACTCTTTGCTTTCTTAATTAAGCCAGCTTTCCACCCTATCAGGAACCAAGGAATGCCAATATCTTTGGGAAGAAATTTTGCATTGTTTTTATTCTTCTTGTATTTTGAGCTGAATTCCAACTATATGGTTTCTAAACTTAGAAAATATACAAAACTGCAAAGTCCCACCATCTAATCACTTATATAACAGGTCAAAACAAATAAAAACTCAAAATTACTCACCCCATGTAAGTATTCCTATTAGATCTCATGGATCTATTGGAAGCAGGTAAAATTGAAGCCATATTTAGCACTGTCTGCAAAAAGAAATGCTGTGACTTGCTATTAAACTGTAGCTCTAACCATAATAGTTCAGTTCCAAACTGAAATGACACAGTCCCTTAAAACAGGTTTTCTTCTAAATTTGCTCAGGACATGTATTTCTTTGCATTTTAAATTTCCTTATCATTTCAAAACCCCTCTCCCTCCTGTGTTCTTCTATACACAATCCAGCTCTAACAGTAGCGCTTCCCCAAGAAGAAGCGCTTCTGTGGAAGGTGTGGGGTCCTGCCGCCTGGGCCAGACTGGTTGGCTGTTGACTCTGCCCCTCAGTACCATCCCCTTGCCTCTGGCCTTGGTCCCAATGTGCGTCTGGTGTAGCACACGCAGTTATTTGCTTTGAAGTAACTGTATACAGATGTGAGACTTCTCTTGGCATCCATGATAGCACCATCAGGTTATCTCAAACATGTGTCCAATAGACGTGAGAACTTGCAGTACTCAAACATTTCTTTTTCCCACTGTTATCTCACCTTCATCAACATGTTTACATTTCAAAGCCAATAATTTCAAAAGCATATTCATCTGAACTTTGCCCCCTTCAAGTTCACAGAGACCTGATAATTAAACAGAACATATTCTCATGGCTCCTCCTTGAGTTAAACACTATGCTTGCTGCAAAATCCAGAAAATACATTGTCTTGGGCTATTCCAGGTAGAAGAGCGACTTACAGCTGAATGGTTTTATTTTGTGTTAACAAGTTGATAAAGCCATCACTTTGACAGACACCTCTTACTCAGCATGTTGGGGAGTAGGTAAATCTAAACTTCAGAGGAATGCTATGCTGACACTTTTCCCCACCGTTCCCATGACAATCACATGAGGTTCATTCAATTCTGTTGAGAGTTGAAGAACATTAGACTCATGGCCTTGAAGCAAATCAGAACTTAAATGTACGTAAGTGTCAAGCAGCAGAGGATACCCAGCATTTTATTACGTGCCTGGATTTCTTTCTAGAGCACGTATCACAGTCAAGAATCAAATGCTCGCACACAAAATCTTGGAAATATTCTTGGAAAATGGATACTGTAAAAACCATTGCATGGATTTCAAATTTACTTTGCACCAATATGTTTTTAATTCCATTTCTTCATGAACTTCTTGAAACATCTTTGTATTTTAACTAAGATCTCCATGTTAAAAAAAAAAAAGCTTCCCTTATGGTGAAAATCATTCTTAGAAAACTTCTTGCATTCCATGCAGGCCATCTTCAGTCTCTCCTGTGCAGGTAAAGAGGGTTTCCAGATTGAGAAGGAAAGAGAATAGGTTTTGTTTCTGTTTGTAAAAGATTTCTTTATTTGTCTATGTGATTATTTATTTATTTATCTTAAACTAGAGTTAGAGAGAGATCTTCCATCTTCTGATTCACTTCCAAAAAGGCGTCAGTGGTTGGAATAAGACCACGTCAAAGCCAGGAGCCAGGAACCAAGAGTTTCTGCCAGGTCTTCCATGTGACAGGGACTTTTGGACAGGGACCCCAGCCCTTCGGACAGATTCTACTACAGTCAGAGGCACATTATCAGGGAGCTGGATAGGAAGCAGAACAGATGAACCACACTGGTGTCCACATGGAATTCCAGCACTGTAAATAGCAGTTTAATCTACTGCACCACAACTCTGGCCCAGGGAGTTTTCTACTGCGAAATTGATGTAGCTTAAATCTGCTATCATCATCAGGAAATGAAGATTTATAGCTTTTATAACATCTCTATTCCTTATCTTGTAAAACATTGACATTTATAAGGCAAAATAAGTCTGACCACAAGTGTTGCCTTTTTAATGTGGAAGCATGGCTCTTTTACTGTTATAGCAACATATCGCTCTATTACCTGATGACCCACTTCAAGCTGGTTTACTTGCTGCTTTTTTCCCACACGTCCACTAACTCTCCTTTGGTATTCCATGCCATATCCTCAACTAATTTGTAGAGTATAATGAGAAGGACCACTGAATTCCAATCTGGCATTTAACTCTGACTCCAACAGGTGAAAGTGTTAGCTCATTAGATAAATGTTAGGTAATTAATTACTCCAGTGAATTAATTAGACTAATTAACAATAGCTATTTCGAGTGCAGATTCGGTCAGGTAATGCTCCCGATCACTAATGATGCCAGATAATGCCAGCCACGATATATGGAGCCCATGTAATAACTCCCTGAACATTAACAATGTGGTCCACATGTAGGTGAAGTTCAGAAGTCTCTTAGAATGTATGAGAAAAGATTTCCAATGAATGCCTTCTGGGAAGCCCTTCATCATCTCCGTCCGTTTTCAGTCATCTCAAGACTCTATCATCTTACTCTCAGGATAGGCAACATCCTGATTTTTTTTTATTGACTATATTGGAGAAGGTCACTCATGCTATCAGATGTGGAAACAAGTTGGTGACGATATTGCCAAAGGTCATTTAGGGTGGGGACAAGTTAAATTTTTAAAAAGCAGATACACAGGAAAGCACAGGTTTTGCTCTCCCACCCCCTTTCTCTGCACTGCCAACATTTACATATTCTTTCTCCCATGACAATTTACTCCTGGTTTAATTTGGTCCGTGAACTTCCACTACTGGAGTGTAGATACACAAGAGGGTGGCATTAGGGGTGTCTCTGGTTGGCACAGTTACTGCTGAATCTGTAAAAATCACAAGTGTGGACTTAAAACTCTACCCATCCTTAAGCAGTGTCCCTATCACCCTGGGAAAAGGACCTAGCTAGGAATTTGGAGCTCCCAAAACTTTTCTGTAAGTTCCCAGGCAAATAACAATAGCACTGTGCTAGGTCCTAGGTTACAGAGAGGACAAGATGGGTGATGTTTATCCTGAAGTGACTTGTGCTCCAGTGGGGATGAGTGAGGACAGACGCTCTAAAAACTCAGGGATGGGCACCCAAAGTAGAAGAAGGAGGCTCCTGAGAGGTAATGATGCCTGTGGTGAGCTCCGAGGAAACAGCTGGTACTGACATATATTTCTGAGTGTGAGGGGCCTGTGTGTAAGACCCTGAATGAAAGGACATCACATGAGGGAACAATCAGTGGGGCCGTGTGGAATTTTTGTCCTTAGTGGTTTTCAGTTTTTCGTATTTGTGGTATTGTGTTTTTAAAAGTAAAGTCAAAACAGCATTTTACTAATCATAGTAAATTCATATATACTTTAGTAAATTGTTGTATCAAAAAAAAAAGATGTATTTGTTTGAAAATCAGAGTGAGAGAAAGAAGAGATGAAGAGAGAAAATCTGTCATTCATTAATTCACTTTTCCAAATAGCTACCATAGCCAGAGTTGTGCCAGGTCAAAGCCAGGAGCCAGGAACTCCATCCTAATCTCCCACATGGTAGCAGGAGTACAAGTACTTGGGCACCTGCTGCTTCTCTCAGGTGAGCTATGAGGAAGTTGATTTAGAAGAGAAGCAGTCAGGATTCGAACTGACATACCAATATGGGATGCCAGACTTGTAATCAGTGACTTAACCCATTGCATCACAATGCCAACCTCTTATTGTTCTATCCTTTGAACATTGAAGTCAATGAGAGGATGAGCTGGGAGATAAAAAGAGACAGAGATACAACATACAGGTTAATATAACAGGGATGCCAGAAGCTTCCTCTCTCCAAAAGCAAGGGAAAACCCCATCAAGTTCTTCCCAACAGTTTTTCTTTTCTTTTTTAAGGATTTGTTTATTTTTACTTGAAAAGCTGATTTTATACAGAGAGAAGGAGAGACACAGAGAGAGATCTTCTATCCACTTGTTCACACTCTAACTGGCCACAACAACCAGATTTGAGCAGATCTGAAGCCAGGACCAGGAGCTTCTTCCAGTCTTCCACATGGGTACAAGGTTCCAAGGCTTTGAATCATCCTCTGCTCCTTTCCCAGACCGTAAGCAGGGAGCTGCATCAGAAGTTGAGCATCTGGGATACAAATCAGTTCATATGGAATGCCAGAGCTTCAGGTGAATTAGCTTGCTGTGCCACAGCGCCAAACCCAACACTTTTTATTTTCTTAGGGTATCCAATGTCTCTACCAACATGGCAATTTTCAAAGCTCGCATCCCCATTCCCACTGCTATGTAGCTGCTGAGACCACCAGAAGGCCACCATGGGCCAGAGGGAAGAAAAGAACAGGATTCCTCAGTGAGCACGTGAGCAGTGTGAGCTCATTATCTTAGAGCACCTGCATCCGGGGGCCTCATCCCTTGACTGACTGCTGCCTTGCACACAGAACATCCTATCAGTTTGTTCCCAGACCACTCAGTTCAGAACTCTCACTCTTTTTCAGACTGTGGATGTCTGCCATGACCAGACTCCAGCACGTCTGCCTCTTCCTCTTTCTCACACCCTGGTACTCTTGTAAGCAGAAGATGGAGCCCTCTTTGTTCCTTTTCTGAGTGAATACCCCTTTACCATATCCTGAGTTCTCTTGGGTTTGGGAGGAATCTCCATGTTCAATTCACCATACACTGGTTTAATGTGCTAATTAGGGAATAAGCAGATAAAGTGTTTTTATTTTTCTTCGCATTTCCTTTGAGAGTTTCAAAATTCATGTTCAAACAATCTGGATCCCTTATTCCAGTTACCATCTTCCAGTAAAAAGATGGGAATGTGGACTTTAACAGAAATGGACAAGCACAGAAAGAAGGAAAGATAGAGTTCAGTACGATGTTTTATAGCACTATATCTTTTGTAAATAGAGGCAAAAACCAACCAGACCTTTGGCACAAAAATGATAACACTTGGACATGTATTGTTCTTTGTAGCACTTTCCCCACCACTGAGCTCGGGCAATATGACACTCATCAAGCAAGGACCAGACAGAGGGTTGGAGTGAGTGAGCCACTGGCAGCGAGCTGTGGCCACCAGCAAAATCCTTTGAGAGTCTCTCTGGTGGAGATGGACCCATGCTGAGTGGGCTGGGTATCTCCATCCCTTCTGAGCCCTGCAGTCTGCATCCATGACTGTAGTTTGTTGTAAAAG